TCCGGGATTGCCTGCGTGCTCGGGGACTGTGTGGGTGGGGCTGGGGGGTGGCCTGAACTTGATGACGAGCCCCCCGCTGCCTGCAGTGCCCTTCAAATGCTGGGGGCAAAGACCCTCCCCAGCGATTCTAAACCAGCGCGTGTGCGGGCAGTGGATTCTGCCTTTAAAAGCAGGTTCCCACAAGGTTCTGGTGGAGGTGGTGGGGCCCCGAAGCCCGAGAAAGGCCGGAACAGTGGGCAGATGTCCTGGGGATACCTGAGTTCTCAGGACAGGCAGCGAGTCCCGGCGCGCGTGTGTGTGTGATGATTTATGTTCTGTGTCAAGCCGACTGGCCACGGGGCACCCACGTGGTGTGACTGGGACTCATAGCATCAGCTCCCCTGGTCCTCAGGCCTTCGGACTCAGACTGAACTTGACCACCGGCTCTGGGCCTCCAGCCTGCAGACGGCAGACGTGGGCCCTCTCGGCCTCTGTGGCGAGAGCCAGCTCCTCGGAATGCCTTCATATTTGTGTGTTTACGCGCACCCCCTGGGCTCTGTTTCTCGGGAGAAGGCGGGCTGACCGGCTCTCCCTGCCTCAGTTTCCCTGCCTGAGCAGCAACCATAATGATTATTGTAAGTATTTTAAAAACACTTTACTGCATTTACCGTAATCTGGGCCCTCGAGTCCTCGTGGGCCCCAGTGAAACTGATACCGTGGTCTCATCCCCGTTTCGGAAGTGGGGAAACCGAGGCACGGAAAGGTCACGTCAAACTCCCAGGACCAACAGAACTGAACCCACAGATCCGCCCAGGCCTGTTAAATGCATGCTGAGCTACCAGCCCCGCCTCGCAGGTGTGCACACGCCACGTGCAGCTGCTCAGGGAAGGAGGGAATCGTTGAGTTCGTCGTCACCACTCTCCACCGGCCCCGTCCTGGCCCAGGGTCAAGCCTCGCCGGAGCCTCCACGACAGCCAGGGGGACATTGGAGGCCTCGCCTCTTCCCTGCACGGCCCAGCTTCGTCAGCACGTTAGTCAGGCACATGCGATAGCTGTTTGGTGACTGTTATGTGTATAATCCATTTTATTCTCAGCTGGCTGCCACGGTAATTACATTCTGTGGTATTTAATTCAGAACGTGATCATTTATTCCAAGTCATGTTGGGTTGGGCCATAGGCTCGAGGGAGGTGCCGCTGGAGGAGCCCGGCCTCCACCCTGGCCTCCACTCAGGCCGGCTGGCCGGCCGGTGGGGTGTGCGGTGCCGCCGCCCCATTGGGAGAGCCACCGATGCCGGCCTGTCCCCCTGCAGCTGCTTCTCCAGAGTCCTGGCCATCGGGCAGCGATAGCCACAGCCTCCTGGGCCCCACTCATTGTCCCACGAACACTACTGAGCACCGGCTGTGCGCAGACACTGCTGCAGGGGAGCAAACGCGATCCCCGCCTTCAGGGCACTCACATCCCGGCAACAGACGGCACAGCTACTGATGGCACCATGGTTGGAAGGTGTCGGGCACCTTGGAAACAGTTATGGTCGGGGAGCAGGGGTGCCAGAGCGGGGTGTGCGCTGCCATTTCCCCGAGGCCATCAGGTTGGGCCTCATGGCGAAGGAGACGTTTGATCCAAGACTGAGGGGGAGCCGTGGGGATGTCTGGGAAGGTGGAGCTGCCCGTGCAAAGGTGCTGGGGCAGCAATGGGCCTGGTGCGTGTGTGGAGCCGCAAGGAGCCTGTCAGACAAGGACGAGGAGTCGGGTGTGGCCGGAGGGCGGGGCCTGGACCTCTCGGAGGGAGTGTGTGACCTGTCTTCGTCGTAAAACCACCCTCTGGCTACTGGTTTTCGCTCCAGATGGAGGTGCTGGAGATGTGGATCCTCCTTCCACCCTGAAAATCCGCCGGTTCCTCCTCCCGGCCCTGGCTCACAGGAGGAGGTGGGCTTGGAAAGCCTCCCAGCTGGGCTTCTGTCTCGGGCAGTGGTCTCCCCTCAGAGAGGTCCCCGCGGAGGGCCGAACCTTTGTTCCCAGAGGCTCTGCGGCTCGGAGGGCCTGGCTTCCAGTCTGCCTGTGCCCCTCCCCCCCGCCCCCCCCCCGCCCCCCCTCCCAGCCTGCCCCCCCCCCCCCGCCCATCCCCCAGGCTGCATCTCCCCCTTCATCTCTGCTCCCCAGCCCACCAGCCTGACACGTGATGCTTAATTACCACGGGGACTCGAGTGACAGCCCAGAGCTCCCTGGGAGTGTTTGATGCTCTGATGCTGTAATATCTGATTCCGATTCTTGGGGGTTTCTCTGCCTTTCATTTCAAATTCTGCTTGTTTGTGTCACTTAAACATTGATGCGCGCTCTCAGCAAGGACGGGCTGTTTTGTATCTGCTCTTTGAAACATCCCAACCTGCCCACTATGCTGTTCACCTCAAATGGGTGAATTACACGCATGTCATTTATATTTCACTAAAGCTGTTTTTTCTTAAATGTCATTTTTAATAAGTTCCCACCCAGCTCAGCGGGTGCACACACCACAGACACACCCCTTCCAGGGCAAAGACAGGAGTAAAGGAATGCAGAAGCATGGGCTCTGCCAGGTGCCCGGGGTCCCGCCCCCCGAGGGGGTGCACTCCAGGCCCGGCTGGTGGGGCTCTCGCGGGCCTGGTGCGGGGCAGGTACGTGGGGCAGATGCTCAGTTAATGCTCGGGTGTCGTCTGTAAGGCCGCGAGCCTGTTTGTTCCTTGCTTAAACCCAGGCCCTGCCCAGTTCCCAGCAAATAGAGGGCCAGGATTTGAGGAAGGATTGGTGTCCAGCTCACATCTCAGAAAAGTCTCCCAGGGGAGTGGAAGGGAGAGACCCCCATTTTGTTTTGTCCTGCATCTGCGGGGCAGGGGACGCTGGCTGGGGAAGGGACTGGGGTCCGTGTGGACAGGTGGGCCGGTGGGCCTGGATTCCTGTGCCTAGGACGCGTCTGTGCTGCCCCTGGTGCCTGCGGCCGCAACTGCAGATCCTCTGGGCTCCCTAGTACCCATCCGGGAGGCATGGGGCTGGGGGCCGGCTTGGAGCTCACAGCCAGAGCTGGTGCTGGGGGACCCCCACCCAGATCCAATTAAGCAGCCCATTCCGTCCACACCCCTGGACTCCGGGGACTTCACAAACCCTCCCAGAGTGGGAGGCAGAGGCGCCTGACACGCCCTGTGCGATGAGGCCCCAGACGGGGGAGCCACCTTCTGATAGCAGCCACGAGCCAGATCCCTTCTCTTCTGCTTCTTCCAAGAAGCGTCGCTTGAGAGCCGCCATCGCTATCCTCCGGCCCTCAGGAGAGGAAGCAGACAGGGTCGCGACCCAGGCTGGTCACGGCTCTGCCACATTTGGACATTTAGGGAAAGAGTAACCCAGTGCCGGCTCTCACCTGCGTGAGTACACGTGTTCACGCACATGTGTGCTGACCGCAGCGCTGGCCACCCTGACCGAATCCCAGCACGCCATGACAGTGGCGGGAAGTGGGACACTGGCTGAGGACCCAGCCCCCCCCCCGCCACGAACCTGGGTGCTGGGCCCTGAATGGAGGAGACTCTTGGGTCACAACTGCGGAGGGGTCATTTCGAAGGATGGGGGGACACCCACCGGGGGAACCCAGCCAAGCGAGTGCTCACCCCGGGCAGTCCACGGCGAAACAAACTCACAAAAGCCCACTTGGAGGATTTGCAAAGCTGCCGAACTTTGCAGATTTGTAGAAATAAAACACACGGGGCAGGAATATATGCTATAAATATTAAAATATATTTACATACCCACAGTTTTAACTGAGATTACCAACAACAGACATTCCACGCGAGTCCCGACGCCCTCCAGGTAGAATTCACAAGTGCTTGGCACACCGTCAGGTAAAAACCAAATTCTATAAATAGGTGTTTATGCAAAATACGCGTCCATAAATACATCCTTATGCAAGTCGCTCCTGTCCTGCTGCAGCGCTGTGCGGCCCCAAGGACGGGAGGCGACAGCAGGTTTAGAACACACGCAGGAGAGGGGTCCACGTGGATGTGCCCCGGGGACGGCAGCCCACTGGCCTCCTCTGCATCAGGAGAAACACAGGAAGTCAGCGCCAGGCCGCGTACAGGATGGTGTGGACCCGCGCAGAAGCACCGCCAGCTCCAGCTCACCCACGGGGGGTGGGTGCTTTGTCCCTTCCATGGAGCAGCTCCAACAGCGCCAGCATCACCGGCCTTAACGTCTCCAGAGAGAAGAGAGCTTGTAAACCGCCGGGCAGCCACCAGCTCCACATCCGCCGTTCAAAGGAGAGATGCCAGAAGTATCTCCCCGAAGTCCACAGGTGGCCTCGCACTTTTCGTAACTACTGACGGAGTTACGTAGGAATCGCACACGTTGCTTTAGAAGCACAGCTGTTTGTGTTTCCGAGGGATTCTGAGGCCCCAGGGCATGCTATTTGGCTAAGTCCGTGGGAGAGGGCCAGAGTGTGAGCGGACCAGAGAGAGGCAGCCCTGCATCCGGCCAGGAAGTGGGCCACTCCTTCCGAGCCAAGAGCTGGTCACCCCACTCTCTCTGGCGAGGTCTGAGGGGCTGGGGCAGGGGCGTCCATTCGGACGTCTTGCATTCTTTCTCCTCGGTGCCTTTGAGGCTCAGTCCCCCCAGACCCAATGGCAGATTTTTGCAGGGTCCTCAGTGCTGGGGATCAATCAGGGAGGGGTCACCCCTTCCGGGGAGAAATTAGATACTGTTCCTAGGAAGTGCCGTGGCAGGCCCGTGCCCCTGGGCAGGCGGGTGGGCTGTCAGATGTCGCTCTGGATCTGGAGGGCTGAGGGGGCTTCCTGAAGGTCCGTGGGGTTGTCGGAGGCTGAGGACTGGCTGGGCAGAGAAGCCTCCAGGCCGTCCGAAGACCCCGACAGGGGCTTGTACAGGAAGCAGGCAGTGGTGAAGAAGATGAAGCCCAGGACCTGGGGAGAAGGGAGCCGCTGGACCTCTCCTGAGCCACCCGCCCAGCCCCGGCTTTCTCACGAGGTCCTGGGGAACCAACCCTACTCTGGCCAGAGGGTCCATCCGTTCTGCATAGCCAGTCCCTAGCCTGGACCCCAATATTGTTAGGGGGGAATGAAAAGTATGATTTGACTTAAATACAGAGGCACTGGATGAAGTGGAGGTGCTTGTCGTGGGCTGAACAGGGTCCCCGCAAAAGGTGTGCCCAAGTCCTGACCCCCGGAACCTGTGAATGGGACCTTGATTTGGAAATAGGGTCTTTGTAGATGTAATTAAGTTAGGGATCTTGAGATCACTCTGGGTTAGGGTGGACTCCAGATCCAGTGACAAGTGTCCAAACAGAGAAAGGGGAGGAAGGTTTAACACAGTGACACACAGGGAGCAGCCCCGTGATGACAGAGGCAGAGACAGGGTGAGGAGTGTACAAGCCCAGGAGCCCCAAGGATGGAGGAGCCGCCAGGAGCCGGGAGGGGCACGGGACAGAGTCCCCTCAGAGCCCCCAGGGGGGGACGGGCACTACAGACACCTTGATTTTGCACGTCTGGCTTTCCAGAACGAGAAAAAATGAATTTGTTTGAGCCACCTGGTGTGGGGTCTTTCGTCATGGCCACCCCAGAACCTAAGTCAGAGGTGGCCAGCTTCGGCGGTCACTCCACCGCAGCCACCACCTTGAGCTCCCTGGGAATCACGTGCAGCCTGCAAGATGACAGTGTGGGCGCGCGTGCTAGCCTGTGTACACGGGCGTATGCGTTCAGCGTGTGAACCCTGGGTCTCCTGTAGCACCGCCCAGGCAGATCGGCCTGAAGCCACAGGAACGAGAGGCTGTTTCCACCCTGTGGCCCCGTGAGCGAGCGGGATAGCTCTTCGGGGGTGCACCCGGCTGCCCCCACCCCCGCTAAAATTAGCACTGACTCTGGGAGCCGATCCTACCCCTATGCCGAGGCCGCGGGGGGACTGTCTGGGCAGACAGCCGTCCCGGGGTCCAGCCTGCCGCTCTGGCCGAGGGACCCTACAACACAGGGAAAAAGGAAAGCAAGGGCCGGCTCCCTGCGCGGGGCGCGTCTATTTGAACTGACCCGTTTGTCCAGAGCCGCGCAAGTCCCTTCTCACACTTGGCTATTTTTAAGCTAATCTTCGGGGAGATAAACCCAAGGGTGGCTGAGAATCCTCTGTCTCTGAGGCCCCTCCCGAAAAGGCTCTGCCAGTGGGACATTCCCGAGTCCACCCTCCACCCAAAGAAGAAATCCAAGACATTCTTATATACCAGCCCTAGGATTTCATTTTATTTGGGAAGTTGTGTGCCTTTTCCTCCAACGGAGGGCAACTCAAAATATAAATACTATGCTTCACCCCACGTAGCATACGCCAAGAGATACAGCAGGAAGTTTCCATTAACAGCTTGAAAGCAGAGGGTCAGGCTAAGAAGCAGGAAGTAACTCAAGGCCCACTAAGGATGGAGAAGGAGAAGCGCTGCTTGTGGACCCAGCCAGGCGACCCGGCCCAGAGCAAGCAGGCCTGCCCGGGCTCTTGCAGGGGGAGCAGTTTTGATTTCTCCAAAGCCTTAGCTGACCAGAGCCCAGGGGCAAACCACCAAGCCGTGATGGTGAGGGCCCTGGAGGGCAGGGGGCCTGGAGAGTAAGCCCCTGTGACCTGGGCCTGCTGTCCCACTGTTCCCGCCACTGGCATCACGGCATCACGATCCCCAACAACAACAGCTCGAAAGGGGGAAGGATCCCACTTCTGGAAGCCAGGCTGCAGGATGATGCCCGGGGTTCCAGTGGGAAGATCCCAGTGGCATGCCCAGGTGCCCGAGCTAGTTGGAAAAGGCTCTCGGTCCTTTGGAGCAGACTCTGGGACTCCTTCCCGCCGCCAGCGCACCTGGGGGCGAGGCCACCCCACTCACCTTGTACGCCAGCCCTGCGATAAGCAGGTACTGGCTCATGGCTGAGTTCTGGTACACGAAGCAGGAGCCCTGCTGGCCGCACTGCGTCTGCCAGAGCAGGCATGCCTTGTCGATCACCCAGCCGAAGGCGATGGGGCCCGGGATGCCCCCTGCGGAGAGAGGCACATTCAGTACCCGGACAGCCTGCGGGGGCGTCCAGAGACCCAGACCAGGCGGGCTCTAAGGAACGTGGCTTCGGCCACTGGTGTTTACAGTGGGTGCAAAGGGGGCTTAATGTTCCTTTCTCTGGGGGCTTGCCTCCATGCCGGGAGATCCCCCACGGTCTTCGGCTGGTGGAGCCCGTGTGTTAATGAGGAAATGGGTCCCTCTGGGCAAAAACATGGCCATGGGTCCCTCTAGCGGACTGTTAGGGAATGGAGCCCCTCCCCTAGGTGGGCACAGCCTCGTGCTGGGATGCACACCAGCCTGGCGCGTGCCCTTGTGCAGTGAATGCACACCACAGCTATGCATGGCTCCCTCCCACAGCACAGTACCTAGAGTTCTAACCACGATCCACTGGATTCCTAGTGCAAAGGATCGCTGCTGGTCACAGACACACCTGTAATGGAAAACCGGCGCATCAACGCCCGGGAAGCGTGGCCAAGTCACACCCCACGCCAGTGGCCGAGTCCTGGCCGAGCCCCGGGCCGCATCCCCAGGTGGCAAGCACCTCACAGAGGCAGTTAGCGCTCTCCTTCCACAGCTTTCCGGGGGCCCGGCACGTCCCCCGCAGGGGTCTGCAGAGCTCCGCCTTGGCTGCAAAGGGAAGGTTCTGGGCCGGAGTGAACGCGGGCCCGGGCTTACCGTAGAGTTGCCGTTAGTGCAGGGACGCTGCTGAGGAAGGTAAAGACAATTACAACGAATATGAAAAGCAGAAGGAGGGGCTTTCTCTGACAAGTTGAAGTGCATTTCCCTGCGGCAGCATGGCCAAAACCAGAGGAAAGATTCTGAGGGACACAGCTACAGTCTCGGTACACCTGGGGAGCGCAACAACAGCGCTGATTACGGGAGGAAGGCGCGGAGGCCGCCCCGCCCCCGCATCCGGGCGCCACCGACCGCCTGGGCAGCAGCCACGCACGCTCACCTTCTGGCCACCGGGGCCAGGCGAGGCCGCCTCCGGGCACCCCGCGTGGCAGGGCGAGTAGTACATGAGGCCGTCGGGGCCACACACGGGGCTGTAGTGCTCTGGCTGGCAGCCGCAGGCGGCGTTGCAGGCGTCTGTCAGCCCCAGGTGGCCTTCGGGCAGGAGGCTGCGGGTGGGAGAGAGCGACGGTGGGGCGCAGGCCAGCGTGGGGTCTGGTCCCTGAGGGCCCACGTCTGCAGGTTTCCAAACTCGCTGGGTTTGTTCCACCCGAGGACCGGGGCTTCCTGCATCGCCTTGGCTCCTAGAATCGCTGGATGTGCTCAGAGCGAAGCAAACCAACCCTGCACGGCGCACTCCCTACCTGGCTTGGTTTTGGGTAGGCAGTGCGTTCACAGGGCTCGAAGTGCAAAAACTGCTTGAGTGCCAGGTGCAAAGCGTCCCCATGGCCCCGGTCCCTGCTCTACAGTGCAGGCGCGCGGACGTTCCACAGATCGCTTACCCACACTCTCACAGACACGCACTCTCCCTCTGCGCTCAGGTGGAGCACACTGCACACATCGTTTCGTCCTGCTCCTTCCTTTTCCCGCTCAGCACTATCTGGGAGGCGCCCAAGGACTAGACTCCTCCCTATTCCGTGGTACCAAGCCCTCCACTCTGCACCGACTCTTGGCTAGTTTGGCTGAAACGGTACGATGGCATCCTTGCCCTCGGCACTCACACTGCCATCTCTACGGGGAATTCCTGGCCAGCAATCGCTCGCCTGCGTCTACGTCAGATATTCCCAAATCACCCCCAGCGGGCTGTTCCCCTCACGTTCCCAACGCAGTGACGCACGGGAGCCCCACTTTCCAAGACAACTCGTAGAGAGGAGGTGGGGCTGGGACTGTCCCGTTCTACAGACAGAGGACTGGGGCTCAGGTGCCGCGTGTGAGTGACTGGCCATCGGTCCCCACTGAGGACACCATCCTTACCGTTACGACCATCTCCAGTGACCTCACCTCAAGTGCCCGACACCCCCCGTCCTCCCCAGGGACCACCGGTGCCCCCAACAGGTGTGCAGAGGTCTCCCCTCGCCCAGGTGCCACCTGGCCCTTACCTCCCGTTGTAGCTGGCGGTCACGCCCGCCATGGGCACGTTGGGGCAGTGCGTGAAGAAGACGAGGAAGGCCAGCATGCTGGTCAGGCTGCAGAGCAGGCAGAACCTGACGATGCCTGAGCCCCGGAGCTTGCACTTGTTCACAAAGAAGCCGCCCAGGAATGTGCCTCCACCGCCTGCTGGCACCACCAGGTACCCTGTGGGGAGGGAGGGGCTCGGTGACGTCCCGGAGCCACAGGGGTGGGGCCAGCAACCCCTGGGCCTGGTCTCCGCTTTAGCGATGGGAGACAGAGGCTCACAGCCATGGCCCCAATCTGCGTGGCGGCGCCGGGCTCTGCTCTCAATGTGAGGACCCTGACCGGTGCTCACAGGGGACCTCGGAGCCTGGGGAGGCCACCCGGCCAGCTGCTCAGAGGCCCAGGGGTGCAGGGGCAGAGCAGGAGAGGGAGGAGGAGAGGTCCCTGGGCCCTGCCCCTGCCACTGGGGAGACCCAAGGACAATCGCGCTCCCCTGGCCCACACGGCCTCTGCGGAGTCTGACCACAAGGGGGTGTTTGGAGAAGCTGGTGGCCGCCGTTTGGTAGCAAGTTGGGCTTCATCGGCATGTGGCTTCTGCCCTGGGATGGGGTGCAGATGGGAGGGGGGCTCTCCAAGGGTGGAGGAGATCTCAAAGACCCTGGGTGCGGTGAGCCCGTCTCCCCAGATGGAGACCAGCTCTGGGGGCAGAGGGGGGGACCCAGAGGACACAGCTGTCCCAGGAGGGTTGTCGGCCACTGTGGGGCAGGGAAGCAGCTGGCGGGGGTGGGGCTCTTGCAGGTGGGGTCACAGCCAAGAGGCCAGCAAGGAGGGGAGTCTGGGGCACTAGTCACCGGGGAGCCCCAGTCTGACACCGTCCTCCCTGGGGGGAGGCGCCCGGCCAGGATCGACCCACATACACCTCCTGCCTGGCAGGTTCTCGGTGTGGCTGTGGCTGCCCCCCCTGCCCAGTGCTACCCGTGGACAGGGCCAGAAGGGGGGGGGTCTGAGGGGGACTCTCACTCTGGCCACTGAACGCCTCTGGTCAGGCAGGCCCAGGGCTCCAGCCTCAGGGAGACCCCGGGACACCCACTGCCTGGCTCACGGGGACCGCCAGGCCTGAGGGAGCATGGTGGGACCTGCCACCCAAACCCTCTCCGCCACAAGCCAGGGATGACGCATAAGGCCCAGGCTCTGGGTGGCAAGGGGGGCGGCAGAGAGAACGGGTCAGCAGGCTGTGTTTAGCACTTCCCAAGCTGCCCTCGGGAAGGACTGTCCTGCCCATTGCGGCGGCAGCCTTTGTAAGTGTGATTAGAGCTGTTGTGTAAGAGCCCAGACACCTGCTCCGGGGCCCCTGCCTGGGGGGGACCACACGCCCAGGATGTGCGCCCCGTCTTTCTAGAAGAGACCTTCAAAGGCCCCTCAGTCTCTGAGAACCAGTGAAAAAATGGAGGACCCCCACCACCACAAGATTCAGGGAGCATTCTCACCAAACAAGGTGGCAGCTTCCGAGGCACTGAGGCTGAACTGGGACTCGAGGAACTTGGGGCCAAAGGTGGACATGCCCGCGATGAGCGTGGCCTCTGTGGCCCCGGCGAGGCAAAGCAAGATGAACGTGGGGTTCTTCAGGAGGAGCCAGATGGAGCTGGATGTGGGAGGGGAATGGAGACCAGAGAGAAGAGACAGAGGGTCAGAGTGGGCCAGAGCCCTGGCCCTTCCCAACTGAGCACAAAGAGCCTGGTTCTGAGAGGGGAGTGGAGTGGGGTGTGGGAGAGCCAGGGAGCACCCCACATTTACTCCAGAGAAACCGAGAGTGGGTGTGGGGCTGGGCTGGGGCAGGGGGAGAGCTGGCACCAGGATCCAGAGCCTGTGGCTTGTTGTGAAAGCCGCTGTCACAGAGGTCAGCTGCAGTGGGGAAAGAGACCCTGAGTGACTGTGACACTGTTGAATCTGCCCCAGGGGCAGCCGGGAGAACCAGCAGAGGGGCCTGAGCCAGGAGCCAGAGGCTGCGGGGGAGGCGGCTGTCACCAAGTCCAGGACTGGGTGGCCCCCAGGAGAGGGGAATGGGGCCTGAGGGGTGGGACCACTTCTCAGTCGCCAGCTGGTGAAAAGGAGGGACAGAAATCCCTGAGGGTTTGGACCGAGAGGCCCCCTCCAAGGAGACCCCGTGTGGGCTTGGCTGTCTCTCCGACTTCTCTTGGTGTGCACCTGGGGGGCAGTGGCCGGTGTAGTGATGCCAGGGGCCTGAGAAATGGGCCTTGGACCTGGCCTGAGTGTTCCCCCTTGAACCCAGTGCACACGGCTCTACACCCCGCCTGCCTTTCCCGGGCCCAGCCCCTCTCAGCCACCGGATGGCAGGTCCAGGACTCGTGAGTGATGTGGGCTGGGGACAGTTTCCCCTGGAGCCCTGGGTCCATCTCGGGCACCCATGAGCAGGCAAAGCCTGGTGACAAACGACTGTGGTCCGACCCCTATCACAGCGGCTCCGACAAGGCTGCCTTTGCTCACATTCTCCGTGTCTGCAGCTAAGGCCTCCACCCAGAGAACCAGCCCCTACCGACCCTACGGGTCATCTTCCACCAGGAGGGAGACCTCCACCCGGCCAGCCGTCAATGCCGACACCTCCCTGTGCGTGTCAGAGCAGCACAGACACCCTGACACTCCGGTGTTCTTCGTTTTGAGGACACGGGCCAACAGTAAACTGGATTCTGCCAAGGAGCATGCAGGGTGGCCAGTTAGCCTTCGTGCCCTGGGAGGGAACTGACGCTAAGGAAGTCGCCCCCCACCCCCGGCCCCTGCGGCTTCTCAGGGTAACTGCAGAGCGGCCTCCTTCCCCATCCTGCTTCAAACAGGGACCCAATTCCTTCAAAACTGACTTTCAAACTCAAGGACTTGAAAAGGTTTCTTTCTGGTCAACAGCCCAAGTCCCACATCCATGAAGGAAACAAGATGCAGAGGAAATGCCATCCTGGTGGGGCTCTCTGGGAGCAGAGTGCGTGCGTGTGTGCACGTGTTGAGGGGAAGCCCAGGTGCAGCCAGTCCCTTCCCGGTCCTGCCCAGGCTTGCCCAGGCTTCAGGGATGCTCGCCTGGGCTCAGGGGCAGGTGACTCTCCCCAGAAGTATGTGAACTTCCTTATTTCTTAATCTCAGCCTGCAGGTTGCTTGGCTGCAACTCCCATGTTGAATTTGCTCAGAGAACTAGTCATGACCTTGACAGAGGGCCCATGTTCCGGTATTTATTTCACTACCAGCAACCGGTTTGGGGAACCAAGCCTGGGCATAACCTCCTTATCTCGGGCTTCCCCCCGGGTCCACTGGGGACCAAGCTGTTGACGCCCTTGGTGCCAGTGCTCCCAGGTGGCCCTGCCCCGGCTGCACGGGGCGAGCCTGCCTTGCCTGGGTGACCCCGTCTCCCTGGCCACTGTGGCCCTGGGCCAGCTCTGCCGGCCTTGGTGGCAGCCTCCTGAGTGTGCGGCTCTTCTGGGGGCTCTAACCAGGCAACGGGTAGCCAGGGGAGTTCCCTGACCCCACGTCACCCTCCCCGTGTTGAAGACAGACGGCGGGGGCTCATTCCCGCCACTAACAGCCTCCACCTGCCACGTGGACACTCACGGGCTCAGGAAGTTGCGGGGCAGGTGGGCGCTCAGTGAGGCCGAGGACTTGGGCAGGGGACTCTCCGAGGGCCGCCTCCCCCTGGCCAGGAGAGCCCCCCATGGAATGCCCTGATGAGGGGCACCGGCCGGCCAGGAGCCCCCAGCCCCACGCTGTCCCTCTGAGGCCCCAGCAGCCCAGGCTCTGTTTGTTCCAACAGTGTGTGAAGACAGCACAGTAAGACCAGGTCACGTACAAGATAAACAAGAGGTCACTGCCCGAGAGGAGGGGCGGCTGCAGGGCAGCGAGGACGGGCAGCCGGACGGTCCCCTCCCTGGAGCCCTGTGGGCACGTGCAGGTGACTCCCAGTGAAACGGTCAGAGAACGGGGTGCAGGGGTGACTCCTGGGGAATGATCTTGGGCGGGGTGGTCAGTTGCTTTCCTGGGGACTGTGGACAAGCTGGCTGTGGGGCAACTCGCTGAGCGTCGGGGATTCACTCTGTGACCATGAGGCGTCAGGCACAGCCCCCAGAGCCTGCCGTGCGGGAGCACAGACAGGTCCCTGGGTGCGTGTCTCTGGGTCCCCCCGCAGGCCCGGGAAGTGAGGGGTGGGCACCATGAGGCTGAGGCCCTGGGCCTTCCGTCGCACCAGGCCCTTGGTGCCCCCAAGCCAGGAGGCTCTGTCCGCTCCCCCTTAATCCCTTAGCCCAAGTTCTGGGGCCAAGCCCTGAAGATGGTTGGGTCAGAAGGAGATTTAGGGGCTGTGGGCTCCCCATGTGGCCCTGGAAGGGTCACAGGACTCTCCTAGCTTAGGGTCAAGACCCAGCATGCGTAGGACCCTAAAGGGTCTTCAGAACACACAGACACAGACAAGAGGCCCCCCAGGTCCTTACAGAGGCAGGTCTCTGATGGTTTTCCCGAAGTCGGGGTTGCTGGTCACCCTGTGGCTGCTGTCCTTTAACTGGTGTGTATCAGATGCTCTCATGACCACGTAGCGCTGGGAGCCTGGAAGGATGTGAACATCTGTGAGGGGCAGAGACCAAAGGCCCCGATGCCCCTCCTCCTGGGTGTGGGACCAGCCGGTGGACGAGGGCGCCCAGACAGACGGGCCGTACAGATGCACCACGGTGACCGGTGGCAGGGATGGCGAGGTGGGAGAGAGCCCACAGGCCCAACCTGGGACCAGAGGGAGACGGAAGGTATTGAAAGGGGCACCCATCCCCCGGTGAAACAAGCCTCTTCCGTGGTCCCCGAGCGGGCAGAGGCCGCAGGGGTGGAGGGAGCACACCGGCCGGGCCGCCCTGCCGGATGGCAGCCCCCACCCAGAGGACGACGATCCCGGCCCCACTGCTCCTGGCAGGCAGCAGGAGCAGGGCATGGGGTGTCCTGCGGGACGCACCCACCTGGCAACTGCCGCGGGTAGCCAAGAATGGGCATGGCGATGAGGAAGGCGGCCACTCCAGTGCCCAGGAAGCCCACCCACCAGGCACCGACCCACAGCGGGCTCTCGGTGGTCAGCTCCGTCCTGCGGGAAGAGGCACGTGGGGACAGCGTTGTGCTCACTGCATCTAGGGCACGCACGCTGGGCATCCTGCTTGCTGGTTGGTGAGAGGCGGAGACCAAAGGCTCTGCTTGAGGCCCCCGCCCTGATGCCCCACCACCCCCGGTCTGGGACCAGCAGTGGACGGAGGGCATCGGGACGGACACGGGGTGGACATGCACCAGGGGACCCTGCCCAGGCCCACCCCTTCCTCTGGGACCTGCGAGGCTGCCTCCCGACGAGGCCATAGGGGCTGGGGGCCCAGGAGGGGCAGGGCAGAGGGTGGGTGGCTGGTGCCCTGGCCTCGTGAAGCTCAGGGGGCTTGCCTGCGACCCCCGCCTGCACACAAGTGCACCTTTAAATTCAAAGGTACATGGGAAAGAACCCTGGGCTGGACAGCCAGGTGGACAGGAGACAAGGGGCTGGCAGAGGCCAGCCGGCTGCCCCCGAGTTGTGTTCTGGGGAAGAAGCTGGCGACTGAGCCAGTGCTGTGCTTTCCTGAGTTCTGTGAGCCATTCTAGCAAATTACTAGAAGGAGGGGTCCTGGGACCCTCCGCTTTGCAGCCAAGTTGGACAGAAGCGTGGGTAACCGGGAGCCACCACTGCAGTTGGCGTCTGAAGTGTGGGTGCTCTCGCTTACCTGTGGGGTCTGAGCTGACTCTGGAAGTCAGTGTCAGATTGAGGTGAACTGGGGACACCCAGCTGGTGTCCGGAGAATTGTTTGGTGTAGACCACCCCCCCAAAAAAAGAACCTCCCGGTGGCGGCAGGAAATCCCCTCTTGGTTCTGAAAAGGGCATTGGAGCAATTGTGGCCTGGTCCCTTCCAGCTTTGGGAGGCCATCCATCCATGCAGTCCCCTCCCTCAGGCCATACTCTCCAAGCTGCCCAGACTCCCAGGTCCACCAGAGCAAGGTCGGCCTGGACCTACCCCACCCGGGCCGCCGTCCTCCTGCACCAAGAGTGGGCGTCTTCTCTGTGGGCCAAGGTCACTCACCGCTGGCCTATTTCGGTGTAAATATTCAGCAGGGCACCTCCGACCAGGTAGCCGGCTGCGGGGCCGAGGATGGCCGCGGTGTAGAAGATGGCTGGAAGGGAAGCAGAGCTGTCGGGGACCCGCTGCGCTCTCTGCGCCACCCCTCCGGCCCACCTAAGACAAGCCCCGCTTGCATTTCTGCACCTCCACCCCTATCCCCAGGCACGAACTCCTTTAAACTGGGGTTCTCGTTGCACAGTCTCCACTGTGTCTGATATCGGCTGGCATCAATCTTTCAAGGTGTTTTAAAATTATTTCCCTCAAAGCCCCTATAGACACCATTTGGACTCTTTCCCCCTCAAAAGAGCAAAGATCCTAAGACTCATTTTGCAGGATGAGGGCGGCACCATGCAGCGCTGCAGGCTCACCCGGGTCCCAAATGCCCCCGGAATGGCAACCGCTACGTGACACGGATGAGCAGAGTCCAAGGTGGACGTAATGGAGCAGAACAGCGGGCAAATCCGGCTGGGCCGGGGCGTCGGCCGCGGGCTCTCCACTGACCCCGACCCCTTCCCTGGGAGAGCTGACCTCGCAGGAGGGATTCGGAGAAGCGGCTGGCCTGAGGCTGAGGACGCGGAAATCTCACCCCAGATAAACGAGAGGGTCTCGGGGGCAGCTCAAGGCTCGAGCCCAACCCCCGAGGGCGGCGTGGCGGCCCCCAGTTCTGCAGCCCAGCCACCAGCCGAGCCCGGCTCGCGGGATCTTAGTTCCCTGACCAGGGATCAAACCTGGGCCCCCTGCAGTGGCAGTGCAGAGCCCTAACCACTGGACCACGCGTGTCCGCGCTCCAGACCCTGTGGGATGTGCCAGGGGTCGGGCTGAGGCTGGCGAGCACCACCTCCATCACCTGAGGTGTCACCTCGCCTAGGAGCACCTGGGGCCATTTGGGGCCGCGTGTGGCCAACAGGGACACGCATGTAGGGGGCTTGGACGGGGCAGGGCTCTGAGTAGACGGCCGGCTGGCGTCACCACCATCACACCCCTCCCACTCACCGATGTAGACAGGCGAGTAGCTGGACTTGACATTCTCGTCCAGGTAGGTGACGCCCAGCGTGTAGAGCGGGGTGGCGCCCACGCCATGTAGGAACTGGCCCAGCATGAAGACCAGCTGGTAGCTGGACAGGCCAGAGGCGTGGCCCCTGCAGGTTGTGCTGTGGTTGGCCCGGCATGTTCCGACGGCCTCGTCCACCTGCACCTCGTAGGGGCCGGTGGTGAAGTGGGGCAGTGAGAAGACCAGCGAGCCAGCGCCCATGACCAGCACGCCCCAGCCCAGCCAGCGAGGCTTGTGGCCGTGGCCTCCGAAGTAGCCAACGAAGGTGAGGCAGAGACAGGCGGCCACATCGTAGGAGCTGGCGATGAGGCCGCTGTGGTAGCTGTGCAGGTCGTAGCGCCGCTCGATGGATGTGATGACAGTGTTGATGAAGCCATTCACTGTCATGCCCTGCAGGAAGGAGGCCGCGCACAGGAATAGCAGGAAGCCCCGGGGTGTGTTGAAGGCCTGCAGGCACGTGGGCGCGAAGGCCCGCCAGCCGCAGGCCTCGTCCGGCCGCCCCGTCGCCACGTAGCGCACCTCCCGGGCCGCCTGGGGCCCATGCTTCTCGGGCTGCGGCTGGCACAGCGGCTGGCTCAGGGGTGAGCCGAGGGATGCCCGCCTGCTGGGGGGCGTGCAGTCACACTCGCTGTTGGTGGCCAACGGGGGGCCGGGGAAGACCAGCTGCGGCATCTCCGAGGGCGTGACAGCGATGGCAGCGGGAGTGGATGCGGAATTCCAGCGGCGGTCCGATCTGCGGGAAGAATCCATCTCCAGGAGAACCCTCCCCCGGCCTGTCCCCGGGGGCACCGACGGCTCTGCCTGTCCGCTACCCAGCCTAGTGAGGGCAGCCCCCGGCCTGAATGAGGCCACAGAGCTGAGAGTGGAGCTGAGACACAGAAGGACTGAATCAGACGCCATGTGAGCCCCTGGTCCACCCCGACCCGCACCCCCCCCACGGCCTTGGCTCGCCGGCCTGAGCTGTGCGCTCCGCCAGGGGCAGCTGACCGTGCCCGCCCTCAACTCCAAGCCCGGCCTCCATTCTTCCCTGAACTCACACCCGGCCGGCCTTGTGCTCTTTAGCATGAAAGGGAAATCCAACTTAGTCCAGCGTGTGGAGAGTGTGGGAAGTGAGGAAGGGGGTACAGGCAGGCCCACCCGGGCCCCCGGGATGGCACCGGGCGGGAGGGTTGGCTGGTGCTGGGCCTCGCCCGTGGCTGGTGTCTCGAGATGCTGAAACTGCTGCAGGTCGCAGCCCCACAGACAGGTTCAAGGGACACCGTGCCAGCACTCCATCTTTCTGCAAACCCCCAGCCCGGCCTGTTCCCATTGCCCTATCTGGGCCCTCACTTTGACTCCCAGCCCACAGACCAAAAGGACCTCAGTCGGGCCTGAGAAATGGCTGCATCTCAAGGCTCCCGGGGCTCCCAAACACCCCCAACACCCCCAAGCTTTGAGAAAAGGTGGGACCTATTGCCAGGTAAACAGATCTTTCTGGGCCCCCCAGGTGGCAACAACCACTCTGCATCTTAAGAGGGAAAGCGCTGACTTTCCTAACAGGAGTAAGCCGGCCAGCACAAGTACAGTCGCTGTGATAGGAAACACCTGACCTTGGTTGTACCCACAGCCCCTGGGGCCCTGTGCGAGGGTCTTCTGCCGAACTCAACACACTTCCATCGGGTTACCTCTCGCTATGGGCTGAACCGTGTCCCCTGGAATGTGAGTGATTTGGGGGGGGGGGCTCTAAGGGGGGGAGACGGGAAAAATGGGGACGGGGGGGGGGGCCTGGTCCACTGCGGCTACTGTCCTTTAAAGGAAGGACTCTGGACCCAGACAGGCACACAGGGAGAACCCGCTGTCGGCCACTCAGGGCCCGAGGCGGCCTCAGACCCCCCACTGCGCACGGGTGTCAGTGATGTCGGGAGAGGCCGCTGCCCAGAGGGCTGCCGCTGCCCCCAGCCTTGTCTCAGGTTAGGCTTGGTGGACCGAGTCCTTCAGGCAGCTAGTCACGGAGCACCACTCTGCTGGGCCCTGAGCCGGGGACGCGGAGGGCAGAACGGTGGTCCCCACCCCCGGCCCGAAAAGATACATCCTCCCGACCGTGAGCATGACCTTATTTGGAAAAAGTGCCTTTGCAGGTGTGATGGGTGATTTGAGATGAGGTCCTCCTGGCTTGGGGAGGGCCCCAAATCCAGCGACAGCGTCTTATTAGAGAAGCCACATGATGGCGGAAGCAGAAACTACAGTGATGAGGCCAGAAGCCAAGGACGCCTGGCGGAAGCTGGAAGAGGTGGGAAGGACCCTCCCCCGGAGCCTCCGGAGGGAGGGCAGCCCTGCCCCCACCCTGACTTCAGACTCTTGGCTTCCAGAACTGGGCGGGGAATAGAGTTCTGTTCTTTTAAGCCCCCAGTTTGTGGTCCTTCATTACAGGACACTCACGCAGCCCCCGAGGAGGCCCGGCTTTCAGGACACCACAGGCCTGGAGGGAGGTGGAGTCTAACAGACACTCAGAACAGGACGTGAGCCCAGTGGTGAGTGCAGAGGGCGGTACCACTGAGAGTCCTGGGCGGCGGGGCGGGAGGGGACATGGGGTGCCTCTGGGGGAGCTGCGCCTGGCAGGGGCCCAGCTGGCAGAGGGCAGAGAGGACTTTTCAGCCGTGCTGGCCACAGGCAGATCCTTCAGCCCTGGCGACGACAGGTTTTTGGCTTCTGTGGGCTGGTTTCTGTTTGTTCGCTTGCTTTGTTTTGTTTTGTTTTTTGTTTTTTGGCCAAGCCACGTGGCATGCGGGCTCTTAGTTCCCGACCAACGGTCGAACCTGTGCCCCCGCAGGGAAGCTCAGAGTCCCAACCCCTGGGCCTCCAGGTTAGGACTATTTTTAAACAAAAGATTGGCTTTATCTTGTGTTAACCTTGCAAACTGGGAAGCGGCCCAGGGTGAGGGGAGTGGGCCGTGGTGGGACCACACCCGGGTCTGGGAGGCAGTTTTGCGTGTGGGGGGGTCTGGGAGCTCCGCCTCTCCTGATCCCCTCGCACCCCGTGCGTTGAGGCTGGGGCGCCAGGTCTTTCTGTCAGACCTCTGCCTCTCCTCCGCCGCGCTGTCTTAGCTAATTTTAGCCTCACCCCGGCCTCCTCTCCGGCCTTCCCTGGGGCCAGGCCGTGGGCGCAAATGCCATAAGACACTGCAGCATCCCACTTCCTGGCAGAGTCTGAGCTCCACGCACAGCCCATCGTACAGGAAAGGGAAGTGGGCCCAGAGGAGTCAGGGGTTTCCCCAAGGCCACACAGCCATCCAGGGCCAGTTAGGACGAGACCACGTGGTAAGGCTTCAGAGCTCACGAGCACGCTGGCTGTCCTCGCCAACGTTTCACTCAAAGAACCAAGACCAACTGTGTGGCATTGACACACGGGGCCAAGTCTTTGCTCTGGAAACTGGACTGCCAGGCGATCGGCGGCCAGATGTCGAGGCCTCCCGCCTGAGTCATTCCCCAGGGCCCGCGACCACGCCCAGGGCTGTAGGTATAGAGCCACCACCTGCTCCGTGCACCCTGGCGCGCCAGGCTCAGTCACACGGATGAGGAGGGTGCCCACGGAAGGAGCAAAGTTCACGCCGCGTGAAGGATCGTCAAGCCTCCAGGAGGGACAGAAAGCCACGCACCTGCTCCCAAAACAGGCACTGTAGGCACTTGGGCCGCCGTGGAACAGAGCAGACGGTGACAAGCGTGAGCCCCGAGACAGCACAGCGCTGCTTCCCACCAGCCCCGCGGCTCAGACGGGCTCCCGAAACAGAAACACGGAAAAAGCTCGACCTTGCCCAGAGGCGGCTGCGTGTTCGTGCTGTGGGGATACATTCCTCTGCCACGTGCACACACACACACACATCTGTGCACACACCTTCCACACGGAAACACGTGAACGCACGCACATAACCAGCAGGGCCCTGGACCCCTTCCCAGCTGGGATGGACCCAAAGGGAAGGCATCCAAGCGGGCCGAGGGGCAGCGGCTGCTCTGAGAGGTCGCTCCAGCGGCCTGTGGGGATGGACGGTCAGTACTGCGCCGGGGAATTATTATTGGTGGGTGGGCCTTCCTAGGAGGGATCTGCAGAACCGCCTCCCCCCCCCCCCCCGCTCTTTTAACCATCCTGCCCATCCCCCGCAAGGAGAAATGCAGGGGCCGGGACGGGAAGGATCGGACCCCAGCAGGGCTAAGGAGGCAGCCAGATCGCTGAGCTAGCGCGACTAGGGATGGTCATGAAGAAATAGAGTCCTTCCTATTTGAAAATAAAGCCCTTAACAAGACTCCAGTGCCACTGGTGTGTGGCCCAAACAGCTCCACGTCAGCGTAAAGTTTACCTGAGCTAAGAGCTCTGATCTCTGACGTAAACACATAAAGTCAACCTGCGGTCCCGCACATCACTTGCTTGTTGATTCAGACTGAAAATCCCATCTTAGACACCAGCCAGGCGACCGGCGGTGGTCACCACCCGCACGGGATGAGAAGTAAATGGCGCCGCTCGGGTGGGCAGCCCCGGGGTCTCCTCCCTGGGTCCGTCAAGAGCAGCTGTGATGGCCAGGACACAGCAGCCTGAGTGCAGACTGCACGCCCCCGCCCGCCTTCGAGGCAGCGCGAGGACAGCGTCTACCCAATCTCTCACTAAGCCCAGATTCTGCTCCACCTGCTGTGTTCCAGTCGGAAGGCGTTCGCCCTTACCAGCAACGTCTTGATGAGAAAGGAGGCTGGGCCCTCCCATGACGCAGGCGCCGAGGTGTGAGGTGTGGTGGGGGTGGGGGGGAAGGCGGACAGAAACACCTGCGACGTGGAGCCAGTGTGTCTGGAATGTCCCCTCCTTCGGCAGGCAGCGCCGGATCCTGGGTCCGGGGCTGTGTGACACCTGGAATCTCACAGCCACGAGGACGGTCACACGTTCTAGGGTCTTCAGGGGGAGATTCCTGAGTTTGTACCCAGATCTCATGCGGCTGTGCCCGGGCAACACATGCTGGGCGTGCACGGTGTCAGGAGACAGCTCCAGAAATGGACACAGACAGTCATGTTGACGCCTGCCCCGGACTTAAAGGACACTTTGCTGTGTGTGCAGCTCGAGGACTGAATCTCACGGCAAAGGTCTGCTGCATAAACGGGCCTGCAGGAGCTGCCAGCTCCAGCACGAGGGCATCTCAGCCACCGTGGCTGAGTCCAGGACGCAGACTCGGATGTGGACTGGGTGGGCACGGCCAGCTGCTCTTGGTCTCCCGGTCAACAGCACCCTCACGACAACGCTGCTGGGGCCTGGGGGTGCAACGCAGGCCACTCGGGGTGATTTCTTTCCTGGACATGCTTCTGAGAGGGCCAGAGTTGACTCCCCGCGGGGCTCAGCCAGGAGAAGGTGACTTCATGGCTGGTGACTCCCTGCAGGTGGCCAACCCCCATTAAGGCCAGGCTGGTGGCCCCGAGGCCATTGCCTTTCGTTCCTGTCTCAGGTCCCTGTGGTCAAGCTGGTGGGAGGGTGACAGGGGCTGCAGGGTCCAGTGGCAGCACCACTTAGATGCCAGCTGGCTCCCCCAATGAGTGGACACCACAGCTGGGCTTGGGGTGGAAGTCAGGCCTCCCCACCAACTCCCCCTCTGGGCACTGAGAGTGTGCACGTGGCCTACGGTTTCTCTCCGCTTGGAAATCGTTTTAGCAAAAAAGAGTATCTGCTTCCCACCTGCTGCTGAGGCCTGATGCAAGGTGTGGCGCCTCTTCCGGGACCTGAATTCTCGGGCTTGGCTGATGGTTGAGCGGGGCCCTGGTGACTGCAGCCAAGCTGGGTGGAGATTGCACCCCAGGAAGGACGGGCCAGCTCCTGCCAGCATCCCAGGTCCAGTGCACAGGTATCCTCACCTGAGAGACCCCGATGCCATCTAAATCCCGGCCTCTCCTCCATACTCTCTGCGGAGCCCACGCCTCAGAGTCTGGTGCCTGGTCCATGATCTCAGAGCCAAGAGCAGAATGATTATAGCTTCTACCTGTCGGTCTGGTGGGTCCCAGGGCGCCCAGACATTGCGCAAACATTCCAGGTGCGGCTGTGAGGGCGGTTCTGGAAGGTTCTGGAATCAATTAGCATTTGAATCGGTATATTTAGAGCCCATGGGCCTCATCCAATCAGCTGAAGGGCTGAATAGAATGGAAAGGCTGAGCCCTGAATTGCCCTGCAGGGCTGCCTTTGAACTGGGACCGGCTTTCTCCTGCCTTCACTCACACGGAAACATCATCGCTCTCTCTGGGTCTTGAGGCTGCCGGCTTTCAGACGGCAGCCACGACATCACCTCTGCTGGGCCTGCAGCTTGCCGACCACGTATCTTACAAAGTCACGTAGGCTGAGTTCCTAGAATTAGTCTCTTTTTATAGCGACCTATCTGCTGTTGGCTGGGCTTCTCCGGAGACCCCTGACTCATGCAGCAGGTAGCCCTGCGCCAGCACCTGCTTGTGCGAGGCCTGTGCCGGGCGGCGGGTTTGGGGACCGCGGGACACCGTCCTGTCCACAGGAGCTCACAGCCGCCACACCCAAGGCTGTCCCGAGCCAGCAGCAAACTGTCCCAGCTGCAAATCCAAACAGCGCAAGCTGCCGAGAGCCGGTGGCAGCAAGACACATACAGCTTGGAGCCGACAAAGGCCGGGGAGCTGGGCTGCAGGGCAGGGCATCTGACAGGACGCCGCCACCATCACATCGACGCCCGTCCCACGGGCCCATCTCAGCTGAGCCCCCTCCTGCGCACGGCAGAC